ACATCCAAGGAAAGCATCTCTTAGGTGCTCAGCGTGTCGTAAAACTGCCTCCTTTCAAATTAAAAAACACAGACGGGCCCATACTACACCCCTGAGTAAAGCATGTATCACTACATGTGAAGGGAAAATAGAAGCTTTAGGATAGGAGGATCCAGGTCTGTACTCTTGCCCATGTCATCACACTTTCATTTCATGGCCACGACGTAAGGGGACGGACCTCATTTTTCAATTAGGCACTAGACTAACTCATGCTTCGCTGCTCTCTCATCACCCTCATCCAGTCAGCCCCCACCTTCCTCGCTCCCCAAACTAATATGGAAGCAGGAGAGAGAGAGAGAGGGGGTGGGTGGTATGAAGGGGAGTAGATAGAGACGCTACTGTAGATCAACTGTGATGGATGCAGAAAAAAGCTGTGTTGCAGGAAGGACCCCCCTCTGCTGATCCTTTACTCACTGTCAGGAAAAAAAAATGCGATAGCTTATGATGACCCATTGTTACATCAAGCCATTTATATGGTTAACTGATTCTCACTTTTCTTTTTGGAATCCCCCCTTCTTCCTAACACAGCACATGCACTGCTCAAATTTGCTCTAAACTCCGATGCAGTTCCTAGATGTACAATATGGAATTCATTAAAAATGTTTATATCAATATAGGCAAGCTGTTGAAAAGCGTATTTCATAAAATATTGTGTGCATGCCTATTTTTTTTTCCCACTATTTCAGACACCTGCAGTGACTTGCTGAGGAGGCAGACTGCTTGAGTTGTGCAGCAGGGCTGGCTGTGGTTTTTTCTTCAGATGACCCAGTTGGGAGGCACATTGACTATGCAACTAAGACACAGACGGAAGAGAAACTTGGCAACACATGACTGGATAATCATCACAGTGCTTTAATATTCAAGAGCGAGAGGAAGACTGAGCGATAGCATTAGGGGAAGACGCAACAAAACACGGGAGGCATCGAGAATCAAGGTGCAGCAGAAATTTAAAAATAAAAAGAGAGGGGGGAGGAGAGAGAGAGAGGTAAGAAATGAAAAAAAGATTGAGAGAAAACAGGGAATGGTGGAGCGCAAGGACTGCAGTAAGACATGAAGAGATAAGAGTTCTCTTCTATTCCCAATAGATATTTTCAGAAGCTCAGCAAATGTTTCTAATTCCCTTTTGCATCCTTTAGCCTCCTTCTCTATTGCTACAGATTAAACATGAATAAAGAGTTTGCAAAGAAATGGAGAAGAGAAAGGGAAGAATAAAAAAAAAAAAAAAAAAAAGGAGTCTGGTGGTTGCCATGGTGACGAGAGGGGAGAGATTCCAGAGTGGTCTCGGCCATTACGCAGTGTGTTGGGGAGATGGACTGTGCAGCACTTAGGCTTATTGCAGTGTGGGCTGAAAAAGAACAGATATCTAATATAGACGAGATGGGCTTACACCAAAATGGTGGATGGTAAGCACAGTCCTAATAAAAAGAGGCGGTAGAGTAGTAAGGTTTTACTGCCAAAAGCTGTGCTGAGAAAAGCCAATCAGGCTAAGAAAAAAAAAAAAAAAAGACATTTATCCCATTTGAGAAAATGGAAGGACATCCAGTGAAGAAACCCAGCACATGCAGACTCAATGACATCCACACATCGACATGCTGGTGCGCACGGATAAATATATGTGCACGAGTCACGCCGGTCCACTCCCGCAGCAGCCAAGTTCAACCACTCTGTTAGTAACGAAGCAGAGAACAACAGCTTCCGTCTGTGGGTCATACATAATGAGCAAGCACCACAACGGTTAAAGATAGCACCGTTGTTTCCGCTCCAATCAGTGGGTGTTAGGCATGAAACGAGAGGAGCAAGATCTGTTTCATCACTCGTTTGTCTTCGGTGAAATAGCCTAAATTCCAAACTTGTCCCCCATGAAATCCCATAATTACAGATCTTTCCTCCTGGAGAAGAGGATTATGTGGAAAGAAACAGTGCAATTTCTCCAACAATTACTCTTTGATGAAACACCTTCCGTAATTCAAGGTGAACACATCCTGGAAAACTCACAGAGGTATACAAATGCATCTCACTTTTGCGCAACAATCTACGTATTTAAATACACAACAGAATTACATGCTTCCACTTTTTGTTGAATTCCAGCAAAGCGTAAGTTTTAAAGCTACTCATTCTAACACAACCATCGCAGAGGCATGGTGCAGTTGCATCACGACGGTGACGCAACCAAGGTGCATTCTGGGTGATGCGACCTACACACAGCTGGCATTCTTTACTTTAGCAAATACATTATTCCCTGAGGTACACATTACACCCACAACTTGGACTCTTCTGTGGGGAGGGAAATGAAACAAAAAAACCTGATCGCTGAGATTATGTAAAATAGAAAAAAAAAATTATGGAACTAAAACAATGCCTGCAAATAAACACGTCATTAGACAGGCCGGTTATGATATAACTTGGTCCATTAAGTACTGTGGCTATACTAAGGATGAGTTCGACATGCGGTTATAAACAGTGCTTTCTATGAGACAATAAAAGGAGATTATGTAGAAATCCATTATGCACACAGGCTTGTGGTTGCCCATCACATTTTACTGCAACAAAGCAGGATGACTTGTGCAGTAAGAGGACAGCACAAAGGCTGCTCATGTGCAAAGTTGTTTGTTTATAAGTATATTTGGCTCAAATGGAGTGTACTGCTTAAATAAACAATTGTGGAGGCGAAGAATAAAACATGAGGAAAGAGTAATCTGGCATGCAGAGCTCAAGCTACGTGGAATATGATCTGCAAGAAATCATTCGAGATGGTAAACCCAAGCCAATAAATGTCTGTTTCCACACAAACATAATTGAAAAATTGCACCTGCCAAACACCAGTTACTAGTATTTTCCACAGATGAAACACAGTCAGAGCACTGATTATGTACAATCTTTGGTCATTGCCTGTTCTCAAACCGGTTCCCTGCTGACCATGGTGCAAATCAAAGTAGAATAGTGGCTCTATGCCAGTGGCTTCTGGTCAAACCGACTTTATAGAGCGCAGCACAAAGTAGTGTGTCAGCTTCCGTGACATCTTCCTGGTGTTTCTCGGCTGCCTAGGTAGTTTAACTGCAGAGAGCTCATTTGAAACTTCACATTACTCCTGCCGATTCCAGGTATGAGGTTGCCAAATAATAAAAAAGAAGAAGAAAAGATCTACTGTGGAAATTAACTGGGGGGAAATTGAATTAAAACATTAAATCTCCTCCTATGCTGCCATTAAATGTTTCGCATATTACTTCATACAAAAATCACAGAAAATGTCGAGAGCAGCCTATTTTGTTTGAAATACCTTCTATTATTTTCTTTGGTCGGCACAGAATATACATAGACAGCTTTTTTTGTTTACGCTGGTTGCTCTTATGATCTTGTTGATTTCAAGCCGTGTAGTAATTTTAATCAGAGTGCACATAAAAGGTGTAGCTACAACATGAAGATTCATTTTCTATGGCCTTTTGTGCCAGGAAGTCCTGGTGGGATTTCTGTGGCACACAGAAGCCAAATAACCCATGTGTGCCATGAGGAAATTGACAAAGAGGTTCAAAGGAAACGCAGAATAGAATATAAAAGAACTGAATGAAGGGAGGCGAGGAAGGGGCTGTGGCTTCACATCTGAGGAATAAGGCAGAAGTGGTAAAATTGATATGGGCATATCCTGTGTAATAAAGGCCAGCTGTGGGTGGTCTCCCAGCCATTCAATTACAGTGAACCGGTGCTGTGCTTTGCATACCTCCTGTATTTTTCACTCTCCAATTAACATTCACTCTAACTTACAGGGCAGCACCACATGTCAGCACAGCAGACTGTCTCTATTTTCCCATGTGACATGGGTCATTGCCTTTGGTCTCAGCAGTGTCATGTGACGCAGGTGACAGGTAATTATGGGTTTGCACTCGTTTCCCCCGGTGCTCAACAGGCCTAATATCCCTCAAATAGTCTCCGAGGTACCAAAGTCATGACAGGATTTAAGATTTACATTATTTGGCGTTAGAGCTTTATTGATGTATGTGTGTGCAAGTGTGTTTTAAGACTAAATTTAACACACGCACAAAAAAAAAATATTACTTTAAGTGTTCAAACTGGCAAAATGAATGACTTACAGTCTTAAATTATAATAGGCACCTGCAAAGTTTGGAAAAAGTATGTGCAGCAAAAGACACTTATAGCATCCAAGGTCAGAGGGTAGACAAGTCTGACAGTTTTGTTTCTACTAGTTATAAAGAAAGGCACAATACCCCAATTGCCTCCCGGAGGAATTGACAAACAGTCTCTTTGCTCCTTTGTCTTTGGTTTTATCTAGTCACGCAGTGTGGTCTCAGGCCTCCCGAGTCTCTTAATGTTGCTTCAACGAGCCACATCCCCGCATTCACAATATCTCAAAAAGACTGACAAATCCTTGTCAGGTAATTAGCCTAATTAGTCACTCGCTTGTATTGCCTTCTCCTCCCTCGGCTCACCGTTCCTCCTGCACGGGACTGAAGAGTGCTATCATTAATATCATCCTGCCATGGGTCATAAAGCATGTCACCCTGATAAAGGGGCCAGTCTTGGGCTGTAAAGGGACAGCTGATAACCTACCTGGATAGAATGGCGTTAAATTAAACCATGCGATGATTAAATTAGTATATTTGTGCTGTAATATGAGTCAAGGCATTCACCATATTCTCTCCATTGCCCTTTTTTTTCTCACTTTTGTTAGGATACTTGAGAGATTTTTTCTCAAGCCATCTCATTCAGCGAACACCACAGAGCCAACAGTGGCTAAAAGATCCCATCATATTCAGAACTAGTTGCATAAATTACTGACTTGAGAGCAATGAAGCAGAAATGAATAAAGGAAACACAAGTCTCAGAAGTGACTTATGTGACTTTGAAAAGGAGCTTAAACAAAATCATACCCACATCTACGCTGTAAGAAAATAACACAACATGTTAATTTTGCCTGTGGCTGATAAACAAAGTGGAAGTGGTCTTACCTTCATAGACGGCTTTAAATCCCTGCCCGCTCACCGCGTAGTCAGACAGTAGCCACAGTGTGAGCCTGGAGCCTGTACTCACAATGGGTGAAGGCAGCTGGAACCCAGTTAACCTGAGAACAAATGCACAGAAGGACAATAACGGTCAGACAAAAAATAAGATCCAATCAACTGCACAGTTGGTTGCAAGGTCAGGTATAAAGCCCGCTTTCATCAACCCGGCTTCCATCTAGCCAGCTATTCCCTCCGGCATTCAAGGATAACTTTTTGTATAACGAGGCTCTGAATCATCCACAAATTATTAAAATGCCAAGACCTCAACAGGACAGAAAAAAAACCTCAACAGATTTCTCTCCATCAGCAAAGACAGAGTAACTGCAATCGTGCATTTGCGGTGAATTAGAAACACAGCGGCCAGCGTTGGAACCAACAAACAGCCGAACAGACAGCCAACATAAAAATGTCAGACTGAGTAAACAATCATCATTTCTAATAACCAACCGGTAGTTTGTAGGTGTGAAATTAAACTGGCCTTGTCTCGGTCTGAAGGTAATGGTTTGGAGTCTCCCATGCAGTCCAACACAATAATGAAAACCCTCCTCGCAAACATGACCTCTCTTGTTTGCATTTTGGTGTTTCAGTCTGTGTTGTTACTGACCGGGATTGGTGTAGTTGTTCACATGATTTTTAACCTTGAAATAACCCTCATTCCCTCTGGGATGTACGAGGTTTAAAATGACAGGACAAAATAAAACGTGCACTCTGACAGGTATGGAAATACGGAGTGGAATTTTTGATAAAACAAACAACAAGCTTCCTCAAACATGATTCTGAACATGTTGTGCCTTCAGCATTGATTATTTGGAAGACCGAATAACATCTACGGTTACTGCAAACTATGATTTATCGCTGTTAGCATTCATTATCATACAATTTATATACATTTAAAACATCTATTGGAATGTTGCCTCAGATTTATCCGTGTCACATGTCTTATATCATCAACAATGCATAATGTGACTTCCTATGATCACTCCACGTACAGGTGAGCTCACATGCCAAATTAATCCATACCACAGTATCAGCACACATTAGTTATGCATGCATGATCTTTGATGTTGCAGCCAAGTTGGCCCAGGTGCACATGACGCACAGACACCCCCGGACGGCGACAGCAGACCAAAGGCAAAAACACTGATTTAATTATTGTAACCAAGACACATGCACGCACATTTAATAGGACTACTTACACAGCAAACAAAAATAAATAAAAGGTTGTAGTGGCGTAGCAAAATAAGGTCTATCGCAAGGTGGAAGTTATTCAGCGCAAATGTTTATTAGCAGTTTAGTTTGATCTTTTTTTTTTTTTTTTACAAGTGTGTGTTGATGTCTTGTTATACAACTAATGCTACTTTCTGGGAACAATTTGTTTTCCCTGCAACAAATGGTACAATAAACTTGGGTAATTGGCTTTATTAAATGGGTTTGTGTCCATGCAACACATAAGGATGATTTTATCAAATACCCTTCTGGTTTGAGGTCGGACTGTTCTGACATAATTCCTAATCAAAGCTTAATAATTCCAAGCAGTGATTCTGAGGTGCTTAAAAAAACATGAGATCAGGATTGTTGTTTCACTGAGATTTAGTATAATGGTGCCAAATGTTAAATTATGGACTTTATTTATTTGGATTTGTAAATCTTGTCAGTGACAGACACACATCTTGTTGATGTTGCACAAGAGCGTAACCAAATACAAAAGAGGGCAAAATGTTGAAGCAGATAAACAATGAAGTCAACAAACATATTAAAAATATTCACATATCCAGTAATGAAACTTTAGACCTTTCTTATCTACCAAATATTAGGAATTAGAAGGTTTTACTTCACTATTTCAGTGGTTCAAACTCGATTATGTCTTAACTTATCCACATTTGTGTATAAAGAACTCCACCCACTGCAGTATTAAGCACAAAAAGCAGACTCCCGTTTTTAGGAACAATGAACTTGACTGACAGCTACAATGCTAAACTTACTTTTCCTGTTATAATAAGAGTTTTTTCAATGACAAAAAAAAAAACAAAAAACTAAACAATATCACCTAGAATATTATCTTTAATACCTATTCTTCCCTCTCTTTATACTATATTACTGTCATTATTTGAGTTCCCATACCTCAGCAATGCCAACCTGATGCACTAGCATGTGACAAATGTATGCTAATTTTAGCTAACACTGATAATTAAATACAAAATAAACTAGAGTACTGATAAGTACTGATAAGAAATATATGTAGTGTGAGGCTTACTTTCATATAATTTCATTATTAACTGAGGTTTATTTTCACTGGAATAACTGTTTTCTCAAATAGCAATTTAGCACATTTTTTAGCTTGTTTTTTTTTTTTAGCATATTTTATCCAAAGCTGGTGACCAGCTGCAGCCATTTAGCGCTAATTTAAAGGTTAGCTGCACTGTTCAGTTAGCCTTTCCTGTTGCCTGCTTACGTTTGAGAACTGTGCTGGCTGAGTGCATGGGCTCTCAGCTCTGTTACACAGTCGTCGTAGCAGCTAACTCACGAGCTATCACTAGCTGAGATGGCAAATTGAATATTTCATTAACCACAAACCTAGTTACGTAGCCACGGAAAATATCTCATAATTAAACAAATAACTAAGCATCTCACCACAATAATACATATGTATGAACTTGTAAACAGGACTTCTGGGACTTGGTAGTTTTTTGGAACTTCTACTAAAGCTATCAACGGTTTCACTTAGAGGCATATCTCCTGTCTGGATGCTGTAACCCAGGACTTGGCTTTAGTTCAAGTACTTGTCATTGGTGAGTGTATTTACTGAAGCAGAGGGTCATGGACAATAGTTTATGGCCCCCTGGGGTACAAAAATGAAACGCAGGAAGAGAATTGGAATTGATGCACACAGTGGCCTCAACAAGTAACGGTTTTACAAAGGAGCTACACCGATTTATCGATCTATTTATTTTAAAGTAGCTCTCCGTGGTGGCCGGGATGCAACTACATGTTGGTTCCTCTAGAATGTGTGGATCTCTGAAGTTTCTGTCTCACTCTCTTCACCCAATTCCTCCCAACTCGCTGCAGCTCAAGCACACCAGCTCACCTCTGACACTGGAAAACTACTCGACGCTACACAAGTTGCACCATTGGGGTAATCATGCCATACTAAACCAATTCTGAAGAAGAATTAGATTCAACTTTACTGTCATTACAAGTACAAAGCAATGAAATGCAGTTAACATCTAACCACAAGTACAATAGTGTATATTGTTAAAAAAAAAACATATGAAACCTCGGAAGTTTGAGTGTTTTTGAGACCGTCATCTGTAGCTACACTGCAGTTTGAGGACGAAAAACGCTCAGTCACGTCATGTTGTTAGCAAGGCATAAAGAAATAAAATAAAAATTCTCCATAGGGAGTCTTAAATATGGTATTTACCCAATGGGAGCGCCTCCCCCTAAATGTAAACACCTCCCTGGGTGGCGTACCCTCTCATTCTCCTCAAATCGCTTATTGACTGAGACACATATAGCATTTTGTTAAAACTACACAAAATCTGCTGAAGTGTGTGTTACACCTGACCATCAAGTCCTCCAAACCCGCTGTGTCTTTTGATACCGTTCAAGCCCATAGTACTTCTGTGGTACCCCCTATCAAATCGGTTTACCACCCCCCCTTAACCTCTCTCCTTCTCTACAACTCTCCTGTGATAGAGGAGCTGGAGCTGTTTATTTACATGCAGGTTTTTTCTTATCACTGTGAGTACAATCGGCGATCACCCCCAAGGAGATCATGCTGGGTCGCGGCACTTTTCTTCCCATCCGACATAACACAGAAGCCCAGCGGTTACATAAAAAAAACGCAACAATTCCATTGCATTAGATGACGAAATGTCAAATCAAATGGCATTTATTCTGCAGAAAGGTAGTGCAAGGACAACAAAAATGTCACCTCAACAATAGATACAGATCAAAATTGGAAGAAGAAAGTATTTAAATGCCCCATGGTGGACTCCCTGAAGATCACAGCTACACTATTCTGCTACGTTCCAGGTTGCTGAACTGCTCGGCAGCATCGGAGCAATGGAATAAACTGTGTTCTGAAATAACTAGGGTGAAATATTTTTTCATGTATCAGCAAAGCTTTGCTAAAGCATTGCCAAGTTAACATTTATTTGTTCTTCCATGGCATCCCATAGGTGCGCACTGGGATTTAGGTTGGGGCTCTGGGAGGAACAAGACTATGACCGTGAGTTTCTCTTTGGATCATTGCACTACCAACAAAAAAACCTCCTGCTTCAATAACCTATGGATCGATTTCTTCAGGTTTGCAGCCAGAATTTCTCTTAACACTTCAGAGTTCATGATTGTGTTAGTAAAGACCATTTCACTGACAGCACTGTAAAAAGAACATATGTTGACGTTCCCACCTCCATTCTTTAGAGTACCTTAACTGCAGTCTGGTTGAAAACCTTACCGTAGTTTCTTTTCTTTTTTTTCTACACAAACTTTCTGCCATCAGATCCAAGTACATTTGGAGTTTGGATTCATCTGAAAAAAAATAAGCGAACGTCTCTAAAAGAAGCTGTCTTTCCATGCATGTTCTTTTGCAAATTTTAATCCTAGCTGTCTCAGTCTTTGAGCCTATGAATAGTTTCTGCTGTATCACCATCCCTCTGTATCTGTAGTCATTGCTCTAATTTAGAATGAAGCAATCCTTGCTGCTGTTTCCTCCCTGGTTTTCTTAATTTTACTTTCAAGTATGCGCTTTAAACGGTCGCTGGTGTTTCTGTTGACAGTCAACCCAAAAATGAAAGACGGGAGATTGAGGTTGTTGCTTATCTGACCAACTGAAAGTAAAGAAATGATGCTTGATCTTTTTCTCTGAGCCCACCTAATTTGTATTTGTCATTATAAAGTCATGCACAGTACAGTTCAGACAGGTTGTTCTTGCAGAGTACGAGGTGTGTCAGAAAACCTCCAGGACTGGTGTCACGAAAGATACATTTCAAACTACCAGTTTTACCCTTTAGACGATCAAGCAGCACGTCTACAAAGAGATCCTGTGGCGTCTGCT